ATAGTTTGCGCTTCTATTTTGGTTTTGCACAATTCTTTTCATCAATACTTCCGGATCACTTGCGGTACGTATGGGAATGACCCTAATAACAATTGTTTCAAAGCTGAAGTTTGTGATATACATTTTGTGCTGTGATTTCTTGATGGAACTCCATAGTATGTTAGTAAATAAAACACTTTTTACACTAGTTCCACTATTTATAATTAGAATGCTATTAAAGCGCGACCGGTTTCGTTACATCATCTTCAGGCAACAAACAACAAAGCTGAAGTTTGTTGTTTGTTAATTTTTTATACATTTTAATTAACCTCTAACTCCTATAAAATATAAAACTTGGCTTTTATCTATAAATATAAAACTTGGCTTGACTATCAAACGTTACTCAATTTTCTTGTCATTAACGGGATAATGTGAAAAATGAGCCGATTTTTGAATTACTTTATTTTATTTTTTATATTGACTAAGTAAATTGTAATAAATATGCCGTGCGGTGATGGCTTAGAATAGCATCACCCCATATTTTTTCCGTCTGTGTCGTAAAAAGCGATTGTGTAGGCTTAGTATTTTTTGTGAAATCAAGTGAAATCATGATAAAACATCAACGTGGTGCTATTTTCTTCCAAAAACAGGTGCAAAAGGAATAAATAATCTGAAAGGATAAAAAAGTAAAAATAAAAGCGTCTACTCTCATAGATTAAAAACATTTCATCGATGAAAAGAGTTGCAAAGTGCTTACTTTTAAAAGCAACCCATTCACCGTACAGGAAAGCTTTATAGCTTGCTTTGAAAACATAATGTATTATACGATGGAGGATCCATTTATCTCCTGACTGAACGATCTGACTGCTCGACTCTTCCAGTGCCGATAACAAATTATACTCCTCCAGAAAGAGTATCCGGGAATGTCAGACTACGTTTAGGTTTACGGTTTTTACCGTTTTTACCTTCAGTGACATTCGGGATTTTTATATGGTTTATTTATTTAGTCGTGTAGTGCCGACTTAGAATAGCAACACCCCTTATTTTCCCGTGGGTCTTGTGATGTGTATTGCAATTTCAGGCGACAGGTTGACAACCTGTCACTATGGTGATACACAGTCTTCTGAATTACTATCAAACTTTTGTCGGATGTGGTGTAAATGGCCGAACATGCTCGGCTTACCCCGTAGGGTATAAAGGCGTGATATATGTATGTTTGTATTTGTTTTAGTGGTTTTTTAATATATACTGCCAATTTAAACTACGGATCAAATCGATACACGACGCTTTAGAATTACAGTTTATTTTTTTATTTGACATCAGAGATATTAGAGCAAGTTGTCATATCCTATACTATATAAACCTGGTGATTGAGCTAGCCATACGTATCAATACATTACGTATCGACAGTTTCAAAACTAATTCAAAATATTTCGTCTGCACAGGTTTTATTCAAAGTTCTGTTCGGTTTGTGCCCACAGGACTCGTAGATACGAGTGCGCTATCTCTCGTCGTCTGAAAATACGCGGCTCCAGCAAAGCTCTTTGGTTATTTGGCAAAACCGTAGCCACATTCTTTAAAACATTTATCAAGCAAACACTAGATCTGTAGACAAAAGCTTGGATAAAATTTTGAAAAGATATTATTTTGAATACAGGAAAAACCATGAAACAAACTTTTAATAGAGATTAAAATATAATTTTTTTAGCTACAGCGCCTTCAAAATCCCAAACAATTTTCCTCATTTGCTGCGTTTTACTTTTTCTTTTTGACCAGTATTCAAAATGCTATTAAGAGTATAAATTATAAGTTATAGCTACAGAACCAAGCTAGTCTAGTGAACCAAGATTTATATGCACTTTAATAACAATAAAGTAGATGCTCACGAGTCTCTGCAGCAATAATTCTACCGTAGGTTTCACAATATAACATAATAACCTTAATGATGCTAAACTTATTACACTTTGCAGAAAATTTAGCGTTATCTTTCGTAGGAACTTCGTAGATCGTTAAAGTTTTTGGGTGTTCAATTATTTGTTTATTTTAAAGTCTTATTTGAATTTGATTTCCTAATAAAAGCGTAGTACTTTATTATGCAAGTCAATGTGTCATAATTCCTCTTACACCAACCAACTACTCAGGTGCGCTATAAAACTACAATACGGTAAATATACTGCTCATCTCACCTAAATTTACACCTTGTAAAGTTAAACTCATGAAAAGTACCTATTTGTAACATGTTTTTTGGTAACAAAGTGATCTGCTCATACGAACCAAGCTACAGCTCAGCTACTCATTTATGCGGATATTTTGGCACAAACTGTTGTCTAAAGTTGTCTAACTGTGTCTAAAAACAGAATGTAGTTCCTAATTAAATTACTTACCTAGTATTCTCAATAGTTTCAATTAACTTGAATTCAGGTTATTACTTGGTTCACAAAAGAAGGGGACCCGAAATGGCAACATTATTGTTGACATCTTGCTCAAATGTCATGTAACATGAAAAAGACGCAAACAATAATGTTGCCATTTCGGGTCCCCTTCTTTCGTGAACCAGGTTATTACTCTAGTTTTCTAATAATGTGTTTTATTACTGATGGTCAGAATTTGCTCCACGCGCTGAATCGCACCGTTAATGTTAATTTTTTAATGAGAAAGAAAGCTTTGACTGAAAATCTTTCATCATATTCGAACAATACTTTCTTCCAAGATTAAACCAATCGCAGATAAATTCCGATCAGTATGGCTAGCATGCGCCCTGTAGAGAGAGATGTTTAAAAATGTATGGAATATTTAAAAACAAGTGAAGGCTTTTGACATAATTAGGGTGAGAATCCACCAGAGCTGTGCGAGGTAGCGAGGCGGTGAGCGAGGAAAAAATCCACCAATAGAATCACTTCATTTTCCTAGCCTCGCTCAGCTCAGCTCTGGTGGAATAGGGTTGAGCGAAGCGAGGCCATTCTACATACAAAACAAGCGAGAAATGTGTGCGAGGAATGCGTTGCGACGAATGCGTTGCGAGGAATGCGTTAATGTGTAGCGAGGAATGCGTTGCGAGGAATGCGTTGCGAGGAATGCGTTGCGAGAAATGTGTTGCGAGGTTTCCACTACATCGCATTCCCCCCGCTCACACATTTCACAGCTTCGCAACGCATCCTCGCTCCGCACATTAATGCGCATTTTGACAGCTCCGCTACGCATCCTCGTACGACACATTTTACTCGCACAGCTCTGGTGGAAACCCCTACACATTTCCACAGCACAGCTACGCATCCTCGTACGACACATTTTCCTCGCACAGCTCTGGTGGATTCTCACCCTTATGGTCGTAGAGAAAATCTGTGTCGCGTGTTATATGAAAATGGCAAAAATTCTTGAAATAAATGGAAATCTCTAATTCATACGAAGAAAATTTACACTCAAGAGAATGAAACAGTAAAGGAGGGAAATTCAAATATCCATTAACATCCGTAATAATTTCCGACCTCCTTGGATTTAAAATGAAAAATTTACCTGGGCGAGTTGAAACGTCCCAACGCCTGCGCAGGCGAGATCTATTTTCCGTTCCTTTCTGCTTTGTAGGATCCCTTTTGTCAGCCCTTATTAAATAGCAAGCCTGAGTTTCAAAAGAGCCGCGGCGTTTCGGAATATTTCCTCACAGTTTTTACTGAAATGGGCGAGGATACAAGAGAAATAACTAGTAATACGTTCTATAGCTGATATTATAGGTGGTCCTTACTTTTTATAATCCTTTTAAAGCTTCAAAGGCTAATAAGACAACAAGTTGTAGATCTTGAGGATCTAGCCGCCGTCTTGAACTGATTGTTCTAACAATGTGCGCGGGCTGCACGAGACACGACATAGTATCCATTTTTCAACAATTATTAAATAGCACGCCAGAGATTAAAAAGATCCGCGGTTTCAGGAATTATTTCTTGTAGACTTTACAAGGTTCGTTGCTTGCTTGGCAAGTGCATTGGTTTTTGCAAAATTTGTGCAACTGACGCTGGAATCAGTGCTAAGCCCCTGAGGAATATTGTTTATATTCTCAATCGGTGAAAGGTCTCTCAATATTACCACTTGTTTAGGAAAGAACTTTGTTTTCTTTGTTTACCGCATATTTTATACGTTGCGAAAAACGAGTAAATTATGAGCATACAAAACAGGATGAGGTAATTTACAAATGCATTTCATTCTGTGGCTACTGTGGTAAAAATAATGAACCATTTTATGTTACTAATATTCCCTTCCTCTGCGTAACGACATACCCTTCAGTTTGTAAAAAGGTTAAATGAATGTTTACATGAAATATAAATGAGATAAAGTGTATTTTGTTTTGTGTTCATTTCACTGAATAGAGCTTACATCGACTGACCTACCCATTAAAGTTACCAATTAGTTAAGGGATCAACTTTTACTCTTTCTTATTATTACTAAAAATAACCAGTGCAATTTGATTTATTAAATAGGTTGGTTGGCTTGCTTTTTAGTACATAATGTTAATCGATGATATGAAACGCTATGGTGTAGAACTTCAATAGCCCGTAGCACAATGTCTACGACACGTAGCTTCGTAGCCTTTTATGATTGTGTTTCAATAACATAACAAATTCTGATAAAATTTAAAGCTCAGTAAACTTGTAGAAAATTGATAAAATACCGCTCAAAATTTTGCGAGGGGACTGAGAAGAATACTTCACAAAATTTTATTTTGTATAATATTAGATAGTTTGCATAAGCACCGCACGATGTTGCGGACCACCCATACAAACGATAAACCTGTGACAGGTTGTGAATCGTTAGCGGGGGTTTTGCCTTCTATGGAATTTGTACATGATTTCCGTCAAAACACCGGATATGGAAAACCACCGGGACATTATGCGGTGCGTTTGAGAACCACCACGCTATTCCAATTTTTTTGCATATAAGAGACAAATCGTACAAAATTCTATTGGGATTGTAATGCACTCACAGTGCTATATTATTCTCACAAGTGAAAATAAGAAATAGAAAAATTTACATGCATCGACCGGGGATCGAACCCGGGCCGCATGGGTAAACGCCCCACCGCTCTGCCGTTTAGCTATCGATAGCTCAGTGGCAGAGCGGTGGGGCGTTTAGCTATCGATAGCTCAGTGGCAGAGCGGTGGGGCGTTTAGCCATGCGGCCCGATAGCTCAATGGCAGAGCGGTGGGGCGTTTAGCTATCGATAGCTCAGTGGCAGAGCGGTGGGGCGTTTAGCCATGCGGCCCGATAGCTCAATGGCAGAGCAGTGGGGCATTTAGCTATCGATAGCTCAGTGGCAGAGCGGTGGGGCGTTTAGCTATCGATAGCTCAGTGGCAGAGCGGTGGGGCGTTTAGCTATCGATAGCTCAGTGGCAGAGCGGTGGGGCGTTTAGCCATGCGGCCCGATAGCTCAATGGCAGAGCGGTGGGGCGTTTAGCTATCGATAGCTCAGTGGCAGAGCGGTGGGGCGTTTAGCCATGCGGCCCGATAGCTCAATGGCAGAGCGGTGGGGCGTTTAGCTATCGATAGCTCAGTGGCAGAGCGGTGGGGCGTTTAGCCATGCGGCCCGATAGCTCAATGGCAGAGCGGTGGGGCGTTTAGCTATCGATAGCTCAGTGGCAGAGCGGTGGGGCGTTTAGCCATGCGGCCCGATAGCTCAGTGGCAGAGCGGTGGGGCGTTTAGCCATGCGGCCCGATAGCTCAATGGCAGAGAGGTGGGGCGTTTTGCTATCGATGGCTCAGTGGCAGAGCGGTGGGGCGTTTAGCTATCGATAGCTCAGTGGCAGAGCGGTGGGGCGTTTAGCCATGCGGCCCGATAGCTCAATGGCAGAGCGGTGGGGCGTTTAGCTATCGATAGCTCAGTGGCAGAGCGGTGGGGCGTTTAGCTATCGATAGCTCAGTGGCAGAGCGGTGGGGCGTTTAGCCATGTGGCCCGATAGCTCGGTGGCAGAGCGGTGGGGCGTTTACCCATGCGGCCCGGGTTCGATCCCCGGTCGATGCATGTCATGTGGGGCGTTTAGCTATCGATAGCTCAGTGGCAGAGCGGTGGGGCGTTTAGCTATCGATAGCTCAGTGGCAGAGCGGTGGGGCGTTTAGCCATGCGGCCCGATAGCTCATTGGCAGAGCGGTGGGGCGTTTAGCTATCGATAGCTCAATGGCAGAGCGGTGGGGCGTTTAGCCATGCGGCCCGATAGCTCAATGGCAGAGCGGTGGGGCGTTTAGCTATAGATAGCTCAGTGGCAGAGCGGTGGGGCGTTTATAGTTTGACAACTTCGTGCACGACCTTCCTGCGGGGTACAGACGGTTGGGGGGCGAGGAAGCACGTCATTTTAATATGACGTGCAGCGCGGATGCGCGCGTCACCCTTCCCCGCTACACCTCCCGCTACCCGCTGACATCTCGCCCCCCAACGTCTGTCACCCCTAGGGAAGGTCGCGCACGAACTAGCCGGACTATAGCTATCGATAGCTCAGTGGCAGAGCGGTGGGGCGTTTAGCCATGCGGCCCGATAGCTCAATGGCAGAGCGGTGGGGCGTTTAGCTATCGATAGCTCAATGGCAGCGCGGTGGGGCGTTTAGCTATCGATATCTCAGTGGCAGAGCGGTGGGGCGTTTAGCTATCGATAGCTCAGTGGCAGAGCGGTGGGGCGTTTAGCTATCGATAGCTCAGTGGCAGAGCGGTGGGGCGTTTAGCTATCGATAGCTCAGTGGCAGAGCGGTGGGGCGTTTAGCTATCGATAACTCATAACTCATAACTCATTTATTGATAATAATAAAAATATTACATGTCAAATGTCACTTCTTAGATACTAAGAATAACATAATAATTAATTAATAATACATTAATACATTTTTTAAAGATTATCACATATAACAACAAACAAGGTCAATGCCCTACCGTACCGTGTAGGTATTGATTCACAGTGTAGAATGCCCTCTCGACCAGCCACTTCTTTAGCTTATATTTAAAGGTGGTAAGTGATGTGGCCTCTGTAATACTCGATGGAAGTCTATTATAATAAGTTGGCCCTATAAAGTGTGTCACCTTATCAGATTTAGCAAGTTTACGTGGTATATTTTTTAGCTTGTTAGCTCCACGCAAATTATACCTACTGTGATCACCACACCTCTCGTAAGATGTCAAGTTTTCTCTAGTGTATAGTACTATGGCATAAATTACCATACAAGGGACTGTAAGAATATGCAGGTTTATGAAGTGAGGTCTAGCTGATTGGTCTGACTTGACTCGTGCTATTATCCTGACTGCGCGCTTTTGCATAATAAATACACGTTCCCAGTCTGCTGCACATCCGAACAGGTCCACACCATACTGAAGAAGGGAGTGTACAGTGGCGAAGTAACAGGTTCTTACCACGTCACTCGGCAGCGTCGATGCGACCCTACTGAGGGCGAAGCAAGCCTGACCTAATTTAGTACAAAGCTTATCTATGTGATGACTCCATGTCAACGTGCTATCTATTTGAAAACCAAGGAACGGAGTTACCTTTACTTCTTGAATTATAGTGTTGTCTACTACTACTTCAATACTAGGCATTGCATGTCCTGACAAATTAATGCGTAGAAATTGAGTCTTACTAATGTTCAAAGCGAGACCATTTATTGTAAACCACTGTTTTAGCTGTACAGCAACGTCATTCAAGCGGTACTCTAGTGCCGTGGCTGATTCTGCCTCCACAATAGCTGCTACATCGTCCGCAAACATGTACACCTCACAGTTAGTTACTGACTTTGGCAGGTCGTTCATCAATAGCGAAAAAGTGATGTTAGATAAGGATGACCCTTGGGCGACCCTATTTCTGTGTTCATTGCGTCTGATAAGATGTTACCATGATCGCCTACCACTGATTGACATCTGTCTCGCATAAAGTCGCACATGAGCGCTAGAGCGGGCCCACGAACCCCATAGTGGCTCAACTTGGCAGTTAGCACGGTGTGGTCGGCGACGTCGAAGGCGCGCGAGAGGTCGCAGCAGAGCAGGGCAACATGGCGGCGGGACTCGCGCGCGGTCATGATGCGGCGCACCACCTCGCGCGCCAGCGACACCGTCGAACGCCCGGCTCTGTAAGCATACTGTCTGTCAGTGAATGCCCTTGTTTCTGTAAGGAAGGTCGTTAACCTTGCACTCAACCCGCATTCAAATATTTTTGCGACACCTGGTATTATTGAAATGGGCCTATATGAGTTTGGGTCCTTTACTACCTTTGCCTTTGTAGATGGGAGCCACTTTAACACGTTTTAGTGGTTTTGGGTAGCTCCCATTTACAATGCAAACATTAAACAATTTAGCTAGCACGTAACTCAGCGGAATAGCAATTTTACTTAGCAACAGTGTGGATATGTTGTAAAGATCTTGAGTCTCTTTGATAGCTATTCTTTTTGTGAGCATAAGGTATATTTCCTGTTCAGTAAATAGGGTGAACCTAATTGACTCGCAGGCTGGGTGACTCGCTGTTTTCAGAATATTACATACTTGTACTAGGTTGGCGGTTGGTGCGCCACAGGTGGTGGCTGCGTTGACAAAGCGCAAGTTCATATCATTTACAACAGCCGTTTTTGAAGGGAATAGGGTACCATCTGTTTTCATAACTACGTCTGTGTAGTCCGTGCGAGTGTATGGAGCCCTACCTCTTTCCTCGTTAACAACCTGCCACATAGATTTACTAATATTCTTACTATTATTTATCTTCTTACAAAGATAGTCTCTACGGTCACTCTGGATTCGTTTTGAGTATAAACAAGAGAGCTCATTAGTAAATGTTTCTAAATGTGTCTCGTCTGGGAAGCAGGTACCTAACCGAATAACTTCGTTCAGTAAACACTTCATGTTAATGATATCTTGGGACACCCACGATTTTGTCCTGTTACATATCGGTTTGTTTTTATATGGAAAACAGGTGTCATATTTATCAACTATGATATTTATTATACTCTGTGTTAGTTCATCTAAGGTTAAGATGGAGTTTGAGAACAATTTATTCCAATCGATACTGTAGATGGACTCCAAAAACATGTGTTCATTTTTTGTGATATATCCCTAATTCGTTGGCTTTGTGGAGGCGAAGCCAGTAGCCGGGCAGTGTATCTCTGCTCGAAGCGTGGTGATCACTAAGATAGGTATGTATAGGTTGTGTGTTACAGTCAAATGCATCAAAGTTTGTGTAGATAAGATCTAAGCATGTAGCACTGGTTTTCTGTGTTCTAGTAACAAAGTTTACCTCAGATTTGAAGCCATATACTGATAAGGTGTCACATAGCAGTTTTCTACGAGGGCTCTCAATAAGCAAGTCGATGTTTATATCCCCGATGATAACTGTATCCCGTCCGGTCTTAGCAACATGGTCGAGAAGGCGTTCCAGAGCTGGAAAAAACAATTTTACATCTGTTAGGCATGATCTATATATGCAGATCAACAATAAGTTGAATTCAATTAGAAAAATAGTTGAAACTTCAAATATTTGGTCAATAGATAAGTCATTTATCTCTGGTACATTTACAGCTTTGAGGTTATTTTTTATATAGATACAAGAACCGCCATGTATTACCACAGGTCTACTATAGTATGACAATAGTATGTAGCCGTCAATATTAACACTTTTTAGTTCAGATTCCTTCAGCCAATGTTCAGTAATCGCTAGAATATGACACTTTAAATCGCTTTGTAATAATACTTCGAGCTGTCTAGTTTTACTGTTGAGGGAACGAATATTCTGATGGCACAGTATGAGAGGTTCATCAGCACTTACTTTTGAAGGGTTTCTATGATTACTCAGCTGTTGTTTTGCAGTCGTGGAACTCGTCGACGGAGCCCCGCTCCCGGCGGGGGCGCGCGGGAAACCACTCCCTTATTCTCGCACCTTGGGGCCAGATAGATGGGTCCATGAATGTAGTAAATAAGCTTTCAGGTAAGCCTATCACAAATGCACTGTGGTTTGAGTACGTTAGGATGCGTTCTTCAACAGAGTAATCCGATGATTCAGCACGTTTGCCATGTTTGTCCAAAAAGGTCACGATACGTTCCTTTGTCACATTCTTCCGAAAGGAAGAGGCTAGAATATATTTTAGTCGTT